CTTCAGCACCCTTGGATGGAGCTCATCCGGGCCTGCCGACTTAAAGGCATCCAGTTCTTCCAAATGACTCTGCACCATCTCAGGGTCTACGCATGGTAGTCTGGCGCCTTGCTGCTGCCTCTCTACAACCCCAGTGAGAGACTTGTCGTGCCCCTCACTTAGGAACACTGAGGCAAAGAACTCGTTGAGGAGTTCAGCCTTGTCCCCTCTGTCCGTCACCAATTGTTTCTGCCCATTTAGCAGGGGTCCTATTCCTCCCTGGGCCTTCCTTTTACTCCCAATATATCTAAAAAACAATTTCTTGTTGTCTTTTACTTGGGTTGCCATCCTCAGCTCCATGGCAGCTTTGGCCCGTCTAACTGCCTCCCTACAAGCACGAGCAGAGGAGGTATATTCATCTTTGGTGATCTCTCCCTGTTTCCACTTTTTATGTGCTCCCCTTTTGTCCCTTAGGCTGCCCTGGATTTCTCTGGTCAGCCAGGGAAGCCTCCTGGCCCCTTTCCCCCTTTTGCCTCGCTCGGGGATCACCTTGCTTTGTGCCCGAAGGATCATTTCCTTAAGGCACAGCCACCCTTCTTGGGCTCCCATCACTTCAAAACTCCTACTCTGCAGTGCGTCCTTGACTAATCGCCTGAGTTCATTGAAATCAGCTTTCCTAAAGTCTAGCACTTTCAGGGAGAGAGCCTATTCTTCAGCTGATTCACTCTCTCATTACCTACATAACTAAAGCTGAATCCCTGGTTGCTACCCTATTCCTAGCTCTCAGTGCATAGATCTATGGTTTTCAAAAGAGCTAAAGAGTCTAAGCTAAAGCAGCTATGAAACTGAAAACGTTTATGTGGAGATGCAGACACTGATGCTATAGACCTTTGTGAGGAGAGGACTTGTGCTTTTTGCAGGAACCACCAGATCTAATAAGTGTGAAATTGAACATGTTACTGTTTCAGTAAGGAACAGTGGAGACAACTCTGGCACTGCTTCCCCCTGCTTGCCACTGGAAAGAAGTAAGAGAACCTATGTAGGGATATTTTCAGAGATTTTTCTCTCCTTTGCACCTGCATGCTCTGTTTTCCTCCCTGTAAGAAAACTAAACTCCTTGACATACAGGTAATCCAATGAAACAGCTAAAGAAAGAGCTTTCTTTTCTTGCTTCAAAAAGTGTGAATGTCCTGTTATTTCTCCAGAGTTATGTGGCCAGTTGGACTGATTTGTATGAGTGCAGAATTCTTATGCCGTGTGTGTTTGGCTTCCTTTGATACATTTTTAATAAGAAATCTAGAAATTTAGACAATGGCCTGTTTCTGCTTCCTTCCTGCCTCCACCCCTTGCTTCTGGCCATACTTCTCCATTGGCTGATCTATGCCTGTTTATGCTATACTTGGTAGAGAGGTGGTTCATGTCCAGGTCTGTTTCAGCAGGTGTTCTTAAACAGTTTTGAAAATTTTCCTTTAATGGTGATTTTTTTCTTCATTGTTATGGATAAAAAACCCTATGCACTTTACAGGACACTAGCAGATGGAGAAGAGGGTTTATAACTAATGGTACAGGGATAAGTAAGCTTAGCTATATGGTATTGGAAAATGAATACATGCAAACATTCAAACACCAAATTGGGGGAGAGGAATGACAAAGGTGAATTTATTTGTGGAGAAGTGCTGGGAAAATACAAACCTAATTTATATGGGGAAAGGGCAAGGAAAATGGATTGGCAGGGCAGTGGCTTGTTTGTGAGGGGTTCGTGTAAGCTTGATTGCTGGTGGGTGGGAACACAACCTACTTTTTTCTGACACAATCAACTACTGTGTTAGTGTGAGAGGTTCTGTCTAATCTCTTGTTGTATCTAAAACACAGTTGCCCAGATTGATCTCAAGTTATCTGATTTTTTCCCCATTTCTTTTTCTTCAGTGGTGACCCCAGATCTCATCTGCCACGTCTTGATGCTAAAGGGTTTATACTGGAGGGTACAACTTAAACACCACTGGAAAAAGGGGTTATTGATCAATGCTCTTGTGGTTTTGAATATTTTCATAAAAATGAACGGGTTGACAAAAGATGAAAATTCAGTGTGTTCTTGTCACAGGGCACTAAAGTACCTGCTCCTTTAAGAGCAGAAACTGCCTAGGCAGAGGAGCCAGGCAAAAACCCCACAGGTGTAGGTTACTAGGACAGCAGGCTAATAAGGGACATAGCCTGCACCTGCACCTGGTCAGCTGATGGGAAGAAGGCAGGGCACTGGGCGCACATAAACCCCAGGGCTGAAGCCAGCAGGAGTTAGTTCTCTGGTAGCAGCCAGGGGAAGGAGCCTGCTGAGAAGAATTGCCCAAAGATGTTGTGGCCACCTGATATGCTGCATATAGGGCTAATGGGGCTCCAGGAGCTCACCAGGTAACCTGGCCTACAAGGCACTTAAGGCAAGGGGGGGGTTGACTCTTTTAAAGGGACAGAGCACACCCTGAACTGGTTGTATTATGTTATAACCCAGGGGATCATATTTTGGTTGTTGTTTATGAATTGGTGGACTGGACTGAGGCTATTGGGGAGGAGGAGACCTCATTGGGGCCACACTATGGTGTGGAGACCCCAGCACCACTGTGGGCACAGAGTCAGAGCTGTGGCGAGCCCAGTGCCAGTGTGGGTGCAGAGACAGGGCTGCAGAGAGCCCAGTGATAAAGGAGAGGCTGAGCTATATCAAGGCCTCAGAGGGACAATGTTTAAATACCATCTGCGAGGCTTGGGGCATAGTAAAAATGTAGTTTTGGAGCCACACATCTAACCCATAAGGCTGAGGGTGCCCCAGGAGGCATCCATTTTGAACAGGACCCAAAAGGGGTCCAAGAACCCACAGGGTTCAGTAGGGTCCATCAGGGCCGTGTCCGAATACAAACTCAAGGGCTGCCTCCCTATTTATTATAATTACCAGCAAAACATGGCAGGAGAGGAAAAGAGTGCCCATTGGGCAAGATTGGCACAGTCATGGAGCCCTAGGGGTGTCGCGGCCATCCCTGGGAACCCCACACTGTGACAGTTCTTTATAATAAAGTTCTTTTATTAGGTATCTATCTAAACTTTTTACATTGGTTTCTCTTGTCTCTTAGGTACCACCGTATCCTGGGTGGTAAGTGACAGGAGCCTGTTCCTCAAGCTACTGTTCAACCTTTTTTTAGTGGAGGAAGTATTATGTCCTAAATACCTTTTTTCTTTTTTTTTCCCTGTTTCTTCTTTATAAGGTTGTTCTAGCCTGACTCACCACTTGAAAAGAAATATAAGAAAAGTTTTACTTTGCACTGTAGGACTCAGTCATCTCTTCTGTTTCTTGAAGTCACACTGGCTCCCAGATCACGTTCCCAACAATGAATCCTTTGTCAGCATCTCCTGTTTCATCGCAGTTCTCCAACTTCCCCAGCCAGCTATCATTCCACTCCCCTTCGCCCCTGCATTCCCAATTGGCTCTTCTCTCATTCCGACATACCCTGCCTCCTTCCCTGTTTTCATCTGGAGGTCTTCTACTGTCTCTTTCTCTCTAGGTCCGCTCTAGTTTTGTCAAGCAGCTGCTTGGAAGTGTGGCTTCCTCTTTTCCTTAACTGGTTCTTGCCAGTGTTCAGTTCATACCATCACTGGCCTTCTATCTTCATGACAGCTAGATAGTTATTCTTAGGAAACCAATGGAAGATATAATCTGGCAAAGGATGTGAGAGGTACCAGGTAACATGGGGCTGCCTTGCATTTTATACTGGAGAGATCACAACAGTTGGCACCTTTTAACATGGAGTCCTTCTGATCATAGGCTCTGAATTATCAATATAGTAAGATACCCTCTTAACTCTGAGTCAGGCCACAAAGCATGCCAAGTTTCAAGGAGATAAGTACAGGGGTTTGGGGAAAACTGCACCCCAAGCTGCTGACAGACAAAACTGGTGACATGGGTGCTTGTGCAATTGTCTGTCTTGGGGCACTGGAGGGGGGGAACTACTGCAGGTCTGGCTGCTAAGCTACTGTGCTACCAATTACCAATTAATCATGATTCACTCGGGGACCATGTCAATACACAGTACCTAACTACTACATAAATACTTAACGGGCATCAATTAACACCAGAAAACCACAGGCTAAGGAGAGGAAATAATCAATACAGACAATCAACTGCCCCAAGCCAGACACAGTCAGCTGCACAAGCACCCATGTCACAAGTTTTGTCTGTCAGCAGCTAGGGGTGCAGGGCCTCAAACCCCTCCCCGCACCTATCTCCTCGAAAGCTGGCAGGCTTCATGGCCGTAGCAGGGGCCAGCAGCCAGGCCTGCAGTAGTTTCCCCTCCCCCGCGCCCCAAGACAGACACAGTCAATTGCACAAGCACCCATGACACAAGTTTTGCCTGTCAGCAGCCAGAGGTGCAGGGTCCCAGAACCCCTGCACCTATCTCCTTGACAGCTGGCAGGCTCTGAGGCTGCAGCAGGGGCTACTATCCCTGCAGCCTTCACCCTGCTGCACCTTAACACACACAGTGTCACCCATGTCACGAGTTTTGCTTGTCCACAGCTTGAGGTGCAGTTTCCTCCAAACCCCTGTAACTCCTTGAAACTTGGCAGGCTTATTGTCCACTGCAACCACCAGGTTCTTTTCTGCAGAGCTGCTGCTTGGCCAGTTAGTCCCCAGCCCATACCAGTGCATGGGATTGTTCTGTCCTAAATGCAGGACTTTGCACTTGTCCTTATTGAGCCTCATGAGATTTCTTTCAGTCCAATCATTCAATTTCTTGAGGTCTCTCTGGATCCTAGCACTACTCCCAGTGTATCTACTACTCCCTGCCAACTTTGTTATCTGCAAACTTGCCAAGGGTGCACTCCATTCCATCTTCCAGGGTGCTGAAGATATTAAACAAAACTGGCCCGAGGACTGAGCCTTGGGGCACTCCACTTGATACCGGCTGCCAGCTAGACACTAAACCATTGATTACTACCTGTTGAGCCTAATGATCCAGCCACTTTGCTATCCACCTTGTAATCCATTCATCCAACCCATACCTCCTTAGCTTGCTTGCAAGAATGTTGTTGGAGACTGTATCAAAATCCTTGCTGAAGTCAAGATATATCAAGTCCACTGCTCTCCCTGCATCCACAGAGCCAGTCATCTCATCATAGAAGGCAATCAGGTTGGCCAGGCATGACTTGCCCTTGGTGAATCCATGCTGACTGTCCTAATCACCTTGTTCTCCTCCACGTGCTTAGAAATGGATTCCTTTAGCACCTGCTCCATTTTTCCAGGGATTGAGATGAGGCTGACCAGTCTGTAGTTCCCTGGATTCTCCTTCTTCCCTTCCTTAAAGATGGACATTATATTTACCCATTTCCAATTGTCCAGGACCTCTCCCAACTACCACAAGTTTGCAAAGATAATGGCCAGCAGCTCTGCAGTCACACTGGGCAACTCCCTCAGCACCCTCAGGTGCACTGTGTCCAGCCCCATGAAATTGTACATGTCCAGCTTTTCTAAATAGTCCCTAACCTGTTCTTTTGCCACTGTCAGCTGCTCACCTGCTCCCCAAACTGTGCTGCCAGGTGCAGTACTCTGGAAGCTGACCTTGCCTGTGAAGACTGAGGTGTAAAAGGCATTGAGTATTTCAGCCTTTTCTACATCATCTGTGTGGTACGGATACGGGGGGGTGATTGATTAACCCCTGGATCCGAGCGGGCCAGGGACAAAAGGGTTTGGAATCTCGTTTCCTTTTTCTTTACTCTTCCCACCCAAGAAAATCCGAAGGCAATATAACAAATGAATACTTTACTTACCCTATTGAAGTACACAGACTCGCACTGTCGATGTACAGAGTGTAGGCACCTTCAGTAAGAGGTACACCGTGGAGCACATAAATGCTCCGTTCACAATTCCGCGCCGGCAGTTCCCTTTTACAATAACTTCCAAAAACAAAACAAACCGTAGGGAACCCGAGAGCTCTTCTCACATCCAAAAGATGCAATTAACCAATATGGGGGCGTCCGGGGGGGAAAGGAGCCGTGGACGCAGGACCTCAGTGAGGGTGATCAAGCCTCTCCGATGTTGTGTAGGTCCTGCCTTCTTTTTCGCGGGGTCTGCCTTTTATACTGCCCCAATAGCCAATGGGATCAGGTCCTTTTTCGCGCGCTCAATGGGCTGCATAAGCCGGGGATTTTGCTGCATGCATCGATCGCACGGCTATTAGGCTGCCCCCCGCTGCTTTCCCCACGCCGTGAGCATAACTTGCTCTCATGTCTGGCGTTTGGTCACCTTTATCACAATCTGTACCTCCCACATTCAGTAAGGGACCCACACTTCCCCAGATCTTCCTCTTTTTACAGGCATACTTGTAGAAACCCTTCTTGTTACCCTTCATGACCCTTGGCAGCTGCAGTTCCAATTGACTGAAAAAAACAGAACGTCTCTTGGCCTTCTAAGCTCTTCAGTTCAAGACTGAAGAACAAAAACTCCATAGTGGACCTGGTTTTTATTCTCCGTACCTTGGCTAAAATGTAAAAAAATTACTAGATAAGGTTGTATATAGATAGATAGATAGACACACACACATATATATAAGTGCTTCTAGTAGGTGCTACTCTAATAGTCATATGTCTGTTATTATTTCCTATATAAGGGTTAGGCCTGTGTGAAGTGGCTAGTATTCGCTTCAGATTCAGCCAATTCAGGGGACAGCATTTTGAGTTGGTGATTTGAATCACTGTCCCGAATCGATTCGGCCGAATCTCCAAATCAGCCCCATCCCAACCCGCTCCCAATGGCTGCTCCTCCCATTCTCCCAGCTCCCGGCTCCTTGAAAAAAAAAGCCTACACTCACCAGCTCCTGCTAGGCAGGGGAGCAGTCCCCTGCTACACCCTGCTGCGCCATGCCATGTGGGGGGCTCTGCCAGGACCCCCCTGATCCCTGTCTGCTGTCCCAGCCCTGCCATGGCTGCCCTGCCCAGTCCAGCTCCTGGCCCTACAAAAAAAAAGCTCCAACTCACCGGCTGCTGCCAGGCAGAGGGGCAATCCCCACTGCCCCCCACTGCCCCACGCTATGTGGGGGGGCTCTGTCACAAGCCCACGGAAGCCCCGATGGCCGCTGCAGCATTTGGTGAGTCTGGAACTTTTTTTTTTCTTTTTTTTTTAAAGGGCTGGGAGTTGGGCTGGGTGGGGCAGCCATGGGGCAGGCCTGGGAGAGGGGGCAGGGGTCGGGGGGCTCATGACAGAGTCCCCCATGCAGCATGGGGCAGTGGGGGCAGCAGGGATCACCCCCCACGTGGCAGCAGCTGGGGAGTGTGGATTTATTTTTAAAGAGCTGGGAGCTGGGGCAGCCATGGCGGGGTGGTGCTGGGAGAGCGGGCAGGGGTCAGGGGGCACTCAGGGGGACTAGTGGAGCAGGCAGGGGATGGGGCTTGGCACGGGTCCCACTATGGTCCCCTTCCCCCTACTCCAGTCCCCGTTTCCCCTACTTATCAGCATGGAGTCCGCATCCAGCTCCCTGCTGCAGCAAGCGGGGACTGCCCAAATCACTGAGTGGAGCCTGGGGCAGGGGTGGGGGCAGATGCAGGCTGCCTGCTGCAGGCTCAGGACTTCTCGCCTAGCTTCCCTGCCCCCCAGGAGTCCCACGCCACCATGGCGAAACACCTCCTGCCCACCCAGCAGCAGTGAGGGCACAAGTCCACACCACCATCTCCGTTGCTGCAAGGCAGGGAGGGGGCACTTTGCTGGTGGCGTGGCCTGCGTAGTACTCATGGGAGGAGGGCAGCAGGGTAGGGAGCTCTGAGCCCATAGCCCATAGACCACATCTATTCCCACCCTGCACGCAAATCTGTGAGGCATGTGCCCCCTCATGCCCTTCTCCCCAGGAGTGTGTGCAGCAGCAGGGAGCTGCTTCCCCCCACCCCCTGGACAAACCCCCTATGGTTCTGTCCAATTCTCTGCTCTGGCCCTAGGCCTCATGCACCACCCTGGGTAGGCAGCACTCCCAGACCCAGTCTCCAGCCCCCAGCCCCTGCACCACTCCTTCCCCCATAGACTTACCTGCAGGTAGCTGAAGGAGCTGTTATTCACTGCTGCCTGGAACTGTATTCTTGGCCACATGCATGTGTGTGTGTGCAGACATGCTGGTTGCACCCCCTGAATCCCACTCCCCACAGCCCCTTGCAAGCTGGAACCTGCCATTTCCCACATTTTTCCATGGTGAATGGAAAACCTGGATCCGTACACGATACTGGGAATCCAGGACAGATGCTGTCCCAGAGTCATACAGCCCAGGACCAGGACCTGACATTCCCATTTCAGGACTGTACCACCCAATTAGGAATGGGTGGTTACCCTACCCTCTTCCCAAGGCGGGGCAGGGCACTTGGGCCCCCAAATACTCAGCACCTATGCTGTCACCTCCCAACAGTCAAAAAGTAGTTTAGACCTAGCCTCACAGAATCCTCCCATGCTGTCTGTCTGTCTGTCTTGGACACCCGGCTGCTGCAAATTGTCAGCTCCACTGACCTCAATAGAGATCTGGCAATTTAGTGAAGCTTAAAATGTAGACTTTAGTTTTCATTTCAGTGCACAAGACAGTGGCCACTGGGAGAAAGTTGTGGGCTTGTCTGTGCCAGGCAGTTGGGACAAGTCAGTTCCTGGTCATCATGAACTGTTCCCCTGTTTGACAGTGGAGAGGCCAGACATGGGGCTGATGCTGGAGATTGAAATCCCCTCTCTTCCAGAGAGATGGGACTCCCAAGTTATGGGCCAAGGGGCACAGGCCAAAGGTGCGTGAGGGAAGCTATTCCTGTACTGTGCAGACACCTTGGACCTGCTCAGCTTGGGTGTTCTTCTGGCCAATGGGAATTAAGTGTATTTGGCCAGAGAGAGTGTTTGCTCCAGATCAAACTTTACCCCATTCCTTGTGCATCATGAACAAGTGTAGCAGGAACGTGCCACAGCAGCAGGCAGGATGGAGACATTGTCATTACCCTGCCTCTCCACAGGGTGTCACCCTTGGCCGGTCCATGGCTCAACCTGTGGCATGGCTGATTCAGGATGGCAATAACTCCTCCTATGCAGTACAAGTCCCTTCTGTGACATAGGCAACACAGGTCTGGAAACTCACAGCAGGGCCTTGCTCTTCAATTGTTTCTCTCTTTTTTTTTTTCCTCTCTGTCTCGTTTCTCTTCCACCCTCTGGCAGTTGTCTGCTACCAATCCGACCAGGATGAGCTTCGACATCACGTTATCCAGTGGCTGGAGGCAGAGATCATCCCTGTTGGCTGGTTCCCTAAAGGCAGCAACTACAGTGAAGTCCTAGATAAATACTTCAAGGTGAGGAGGCCTTCCCCGGAGAAAGGAGCCTGTGCCTGGGCTGGAGGTAGCGCTGCAGTCGCATCCCACCTTCTCAGTGACTTCAGTGAGTGAAAAAAATATCCTATTTTCTCACGTACTACCTGCCCTCAAATAAGATGTGTGCTTTTTTTTGGAAGGTGGGATAAAGGAAAAAAAAGATCTTTTTTTGAAAACGCCAATACACGTTTTCATAGGGGAAACACAGGCAGCTGCAATAGAGGGAGAGTGGCAGTAGGAGGTCACAGGCACTGCTGGCTGCCCACCTGGCTTGAGAAGAGGGACTGAGGAGCTCGACTCCCGCATGTTCCCCATCTGTCCTTGTTTAAGACATGCACCCCAAAATATAATATGTGAAGGGAGGGGGGTACATGTTGTATACAAGCAAATATGGTAGCATGAGGAGTGAGCAAGGTCAAATCCCAGGCTGTTGGGAGCAGCGAAGAAGTGGCACAAAGTGGCTCCGCTCTGTGGAGTGCTGGTGTCTCGGGCTGGCAGACATATCTTACGGATAAAAAGGAGAGGGCAGACCTGGGCAGGGGAGGGGTGGGGAAGAGGAAGAAAGAGATGGATCCTTGGGGACTGGGAGCTGCTGATGAGGCTGAAGTTGGTTCCTTATTCTCAGTTCCTTATTTCTGGTTCCCTATTTCTTATTCACAGTTCCTTATTCCCGATTCCTGGTTCCTTTTCCAAATCTAATCTAGACCCAATAAAAACTTGTTATTAATGAATTACACATCCTAAAGAGAGAGAATTTCATTAGCTTTGCATATGTACTAATTAATATGTGAAATATCTCACATCAAGTACAGAGCCCTAAACGATAGTCAGATTAGGATGGGATTATGGGGCAAAATATTTCTTGGGCCACCCCAAATTCCATGGCAATGCCAGTGGGGGACTGTCCCAAAGAACCCTGACCACAGTCCCACCTGGCCCAATGCATGGTTTGACCGTGCCAGGCTGCCAACTAACAGCCCCCGTGCCCACTATACTACGTATAATGGCTTGAATAAGGAACTGGCTTTTGAGCCCAGACTATGGCTAGAAATTCTGCTTGGGCCACCCATCAGAATGCCTGTGTGTGACACGGGGACTGTCCTAGACATCTGTGACCAGATACTTGCCTGACCCAAAGTACAGTTTGGCCGTGCCAGGCTGCCAACAGACAGCACCCCAGCCACTGTGCTAAGTATATGGAACTGAATAAGGAACTGGATTTTGGGCTGGGATTATACCCATAAATCCTTCTTGGCCACCCCACACCATGTCCCTGTGCCATGGGGAGGACGCTTCTGGACATCCCTGACCAGAGATTTGCCTGGCCCAAAACACGATTTGGCTGTGCCAGGCTGCCAAGAGACAGCACCCAAGCCACTGTGCTAAGTATATGGAACTGAATAAGGAACTGGATGATGGGCTGGGATTATACCCAAAAATACTTTGGGCCACCCATCAGAATACCTCTGTGCCACTGGGGAATTGTCCTGGACATCTTTGACCAGAGACCTGCCTGGCCCAAAGCATGGTTTTGCCACGCCAAGTTGCCAACTGACACCACCCCCCAGACACTGTGCTAAGTATATGGAACTGAATAAGGAACTGGATTCTGGACTGGGATTGTACCCAGAGATCCTTCTTGGGCCACCCCAGGAAGCATTGCTCTGGCATCAGTGAACTCTCCTGGACATCTCTGAACAGAGACTTGCCTGGCCCAAAGTGCAGCTTGGCCGTGCCAGGCTGCCAACAGACAGCACCCCAGCCACTGTGCTAAGTATATGGTCTTGAATTAGAAACTGGTTGGTTTGATGACTGGGATTAGAGATGGAAATGCTTCTTGGGCCACCCCACAACATGACTCTGTGGCACTGGGAGACTCTCCTGGACACCCCTGACCAGAGTCTTGCCTGATCCAGAGTGAGGTTTCTTCATGCCATGCCCACTGCACTTAGTATGCTGGCTCAAATAAGGAATTTATTTTGGATCACAAGTGGTAGAGTCCCTGGATGGCAGCCGTGGGTGAGACTCCCTTCCCGAGTGACTTGCCTAGGAGGGAGCTCCCCAGGTTGGTTTGCCTCTGACTGTGACTTGTGATCCATTTTGAGTTACAGTTAAAGGTTAATAGTTAAGGTTTTGCTTAGGGAGTACCACTGTTCCCCTTTTCCCTTGTAATAAACTTGTTTTAATTTAACATTTGCTAGTGAATGAGCAGGTACCTTTCAATTACAACACTCATCTTTAAATTATTTTACCAAGTTTCTGGGTGGCAGTTGGACGTAAATGTAAAATGCTGTTGAAAAATCCCTAGGGGCCTCTATACACATGCTCTCGGGTGGGGAGAAGGGTGCTTTAAATAGAACAGCTCTGAGAGCCACTCTAATTAGAGCTCCCACAGTGTCACATGAATTCAGTGTCCCGTGCTTCAAAACAGCAGTGGGGGTGCTTTAACAAAGCTGGTTCGAAGATCTATAGTTAAAGCGCTGCTGCTGCCATTTTGAAACACAGGCACAGTGAATACACATGACGCAAAGGCTGCTGGAGTGTGCTAATTAGCATGCTTCAGCAGACTGGCAGCAAACTCGATTAAACAAGTCTGCTTTGACACATGCTAAATACCACACGTCCGAGTAGAGGTCTGTCACTGGTACCCTATATATGCATGCAGCCATTTGTCCTGCCATCCAGTGCCTGGTGGAACAGCAACATAAAGGTTTTAAAGTTTGGGTGTCACCTGGCAGGCTTACACTCAAAAAGCTAGCATCGCATTGAGCAGGTACATGCCCAGATTTCTTCAGGAGGCTCCTTGGTAGTGGGGACATGTTCTGGGATGATTCCATGAGGCTTTTGCCCCGTGAATCCAGCAGAAGGGCAGCTTCTTATTGCCAGCAATGTAAATAGCACATGCGGATGGCTAGTAAATTGGTGCCTGACATGGCCAAAAGCGTTCTTTGGACCAGACAAAAACATGGTCAAGGGTGTCTGGAAGAGTCCCCCAGTGCCACAGAGGCATGGTGTGCGGTGGCCCAAGAAGAATTTATATCGCTAATCTCAGCCCAAAAGAAATTCCTTATTCGAGCCATTATACTTAGTGCGGTGGGCATGGGGGGCTGTAGTTAGCAGCATGGCATGAAGAAATCGTGCTCTGGGCTAGGAAAGTCTGTGGTCAGTGATGTCCAGGACAGTCCCCCAGTGCCACAGAAGCATGGCATGGGGTGGCCTAAGAAGGATTTCTGGGTATAATCGCAGCCCAAATCCAGTTCCTTATTCAGATCCATGTACTTTGCACCGTGGCTGGGGTGCTGTCAGTTGGCAGCCTGGCATGTCCAAGCCGCGTTTGGGCCAGGCAAGTCTGTACTCAGCAATGTGCAAGAGAGTCCCCCAGTGCCACAGGCACATGGCGTGGGGTGGTCTGAGAAGCATTTCTAGCTATAATCCCAGCCCAAAATCCAGTTCCTTCTTCAGGTCCGTATATTTAGCACAGTGGCTGGGGTGCTGTCTGTTGGCAACCTGGCGTGGCTAAACCACGTTTTGGGCCGAGCAAGTCTCTGTTCAGAGACAGCTAGGAGAGTCCACCAGTGCCAGAGAGATGCTTCCTGGGGTGGCCCAAGAAGGATGTCTGGGTATAATCCCGGTCCAGAATCCAGTTCCTTATTTGGGTCGAGATACTTAGCACAGTGTCTGGGGGGGTGGGGGGTGTCAGTTGGCAACCTGATGTGGCTAAACCACATTTTGGGCCAAGCAAGTGTCTGGTCAGAGGTGTCCACAGTTGTTCCCCAGTGGCACAGAGATGTGTTCTGGGGTGGCCCAAGAAGGATTGCTGGGCATAATCCCAGCCCAAATTTCAGTTCCTTAGTTTGGTCCAGATACTTAACGCACTGGCTTGGGTGCTGTCTGTTGGCAGCCTAGCATGGCCAAACCACACATTGGACTGGGCAAGTCTCTGCTCAGAGGTGTCCAGGAGTGTCCCCCGGTGGCACAGGGACATGATGTGGGGTGGCCAAGAAGGATTTCTGGGTATAATCCCAACCCAAAATCCAGTTCCTTATTCGGGTCCAGACTCTTAGCACGGTGTCTGGGGGGTGGTGTCAGTTGGCAACTGGTGTGGCTAAACTGCGTTTTGGGCCAGGCAGGTCTCTGGTCAGAGATGTCCAGGACGCTTCCCTGGTGGCAAAGGGTGTTTTGTGAGGGGGGCCCATGAAAGATTTTTTAGCCATAATCTCAGCCTGAAAGCCAGTTCCTTATTCAAACCATTATACTTAGTATAGTGGGCATGGAGGCTGTTAGTTGGCAGCCTGGCAAGAAGGGTTTCTGAGTATAATCCCAGCCCAAAATCTAGTTCCTTATTCAGTTCCATGTACTTAGCACAGCGGATGGGGTGCTGACTGTGGTCAGCCTGGCATGGCCAAACCGTGCTTTGGGTCAGGCAAGTTTCTGGTCACAGATGTCTAGGACAGTCCCCTAGTCACACACAGGTATTCTGATGGATGGCCCAAGCAGAATTTCTAACCATAGTCCGGGCTCAAAAGCCAGTTCCTTATTCAAGCCATTATACGTAGTATAGTGGGCAGGGGGGCTGTTAGTTGGCAGCCTGACATGGCCAAACCATGCATTGGGCCAGGTGGGACTGTGGTCAGGGTTCTTTGGGACAGTCCCCCACTGGCATCGCCATGAAATTTGAGGTGGTTTAAGAAGTATTTTGCCCCATAATACCATCCTAATCTGACCGTCATTTAGGGCTCTGTACTTGATGTGAGATATTATTTTACATAATACTTAGTAGATATGCATAGCTAATGAAATTCTGTCTCTTTAGGATGTGTAATTCATTAATAACAAGCTTTTATTGGGTCTAGATTATCTTTGAAAAAGGAACCAGGAACCGGGAATAAGGAACTGGGAATAAGGAACCAACTTCAGCCTCATGAGTCGCTGAGGGAAAGGATAAAAAGGGAGAGGGTGAAAGTTTTGAAAATTTGGAGGCAAGAAACCCAGCACGGCAGGGCAGGGCAAGGGAGGCAGGGAGTAGCCAAACCTGGGGGTGGGGGAGGAGAGACTTTTCTGAAAAGCAGGGAAGAGGATATAATAGGGGTCCTGCTGGCCCTTGGTTGCAGTGTATCCCGGCACCATTAAGCTTAGGTGGGGGGCATGTGGGAGCTTCTGCATGTCCCCAGCTTCATGGATGAAGCCCCTGCTGTGGTGCGAGCCTCAGATCCAAGGCCCCCCAGATCCAGCCTTATTCATTCAGCCTGGAATCTACAAACCTTTCTTCCCCTCTCCCCACCCCTTGGTAACTGGCATGGGCGACTGGTGCCCCTTTAGGGGGGGCATGTGCCCCCCCTGTGACCAGTCCCACTGACCAGAGGGGGTTCCCCACCGGCTGATCACTGTGCTCATGGCAGCTGCTTCCGGGAGTGGCTGCAGCTGCTTCTGGGAGCAAGCGCCGGCCGATAGCTGCAGCCGCTCCCACAAGCAGCCACAGCCATTCCTGAAAGCGGCTGCAGTGAGCACAGCTATCAGCCGGCGCTTGCAGGGGGGCGCTGGAGTTCCCACCAGCCCCCCCACCCATTGCCTAAGCAGTAAGCGCGGCCGTCAGGGTGTGCACGTGCAGCCCTGTGCACTCTCTATGCGTCGCCACTGGTAAGCAGCTGGTCCTGAGCCTCACCAGTGCTCCTGCCAGGCTCAGCATGCCTCTGCCTTCCCATCCTGCCTGATAAAGACTTCAAAGCACCCAGCCTCAGGGCCAGAGGGGCATGTGGGGCAGGGGTTAAATAAGAAGCTGTTGACAGCAAGAGATTAAGGATGCCTGACAGGAGTTAGCACTGAAAGCAAATTTGCCATGGCAATGACCCCCCAGTGACACCTGAGGAACCAACACCCCCCTCCCTCTCCCTAAGAGGATCTGGGCCTTTGTAGCCATTAACACTGGTGCCTTTTGTGAGGGTCCTCCTATGACCCACTGCCTCAGGCACACCCCTGGGCTCCTGCTGTCACCCCAAATGATGTGGCGACCTGCAGAGCTGTGCTCCACAATCCCTTCCCCCAAAAGCCGGCTAGCCTCAGCCCCCTCCTCAAAGCGCCTCCCTGTGCCACACACTTTGCTGTGTTACTCAAAGCTAACCACATGCTCACTAAGCTGACACTGACACAATAAGGAGCTGCCTCCCACTACAGGCCTAATGAAAATCTGGACCTGAAGTGCAGTGGCAAGCAAGCTCCTCTGTGCAGGATCATGTT